GAATATATTCTTCATATCTAACTAATTGCTGTATTGGTAATATGAAACCCAAATAGGTTTACTTAACTAGGTTAAATATGTAAAAACCCACGTTTATAATATATAAAAATGGATATATAGAAAATATACTCTTTTTTTAAGATCCAGATGCGGCACATGTTTCATTGTTATTTTTGCTATTACTTGAGCCCTTTATAATAACAGAGCAAGATTTGAGAACAGGCTAGTCAAGAGCAAGAGTTTTAGCTCTCACCCACATCTCTCTCACCCGCTCTCATCCCTTAAAGTGGTTATGGAAGCAATTTAAAGCACCATGTTTTAAATTGCTTCCATAACCACTTTAAGGGATGAGAGCGGGTGAGAGAGATGTGGGTGAGAGCTAAAACTCTTTTTTGCATTAAAAAAAGAAGTTAACCCAATCTAATTGGATTTCAATCCAATTAGATTGGGTTAACTTCTTTTTTTCTTAAATAAAAGAATTAGTTTCTTAAAAAAATCCAATTATGAAAAAATAAATTGCAACTAGTATAAAATTAAATTTTGTATTTAATAAGCAATTTATTTATGAATAAACAGATAGCTTACCCAAAAACCAAAAGCTCATTGTAAAAAGGTGTTTAGAGGAGCAGCTCCCATGGCTCGCCATATTTGTTTTGGGAGTTTTTTAATGCATTTTTTGAAGAGATTTTTTGGTGCAGTGCAACCACTTGCTCCAAAAAATATTTATGTCTGGGTATTTATGATATGTGTCCTTTATTTGGTTTTCTTAATGATGTTAGTTAATCAAACAGGAAATTAAATATGTGTTACAGAAATTAATTTTATTTTATAGATCTAGATTTGAATGCAAAAAACATGTCACATTATATCATGTATCCTTAGTGTGTTGTTTTAGAACCTGGTTATGCTTTCAACTAAAGTTCTTGAATGTAATCATATTTAATTACTTTAAATAATTAGTATATAACATGTGTTGTTGTTACTTATGCTTTTGATGTTACCCTTGGTGTGCTACTCTTTAAGTTTATGCTGTGTAACAAGATGTCATAAACTATGTCTCAAGTTTATTTAGTTGAAAAGTCTAAAGAAAAATATTTCTGTTATAATAAGTATATAAAAAAAAAGTGTGTCAAATATTTTATGCTATGTGTTCCTAGTGTTTTAAGCATGTATCATCATTATCATACATGCTGGTGACTGTTTATAATCAATATAACATTGAATATTAAGTATAAAACATGTATCACATCTATCATTTATTATGTCATTTGTCCTTGGGTTTGTGTCATTGGTGTGTCCATCAGAGGTTTGGTAAGGGACATTACAATAGTAATTATAATAGGCGCGGGTATAATAAATATTTATTAAATCTTTCAGTGTTTGCTTCAAAAATGACAAAGAATTGATTTTTGCCTCTAAAGTGACATTTCTGGGCCACTGTGCAATGCAGAATATATTTTTATCTTTGATGCAACTACAACCAAAAGAAAGTCAAAAGAAAGTTACAACTTATTATTTAACTTGGTGAATGCTATATTATCTGTACAATACAATTATAATTATCTTTCATGTAGATAGTTTCATGAAATGATGAAGAACGATCCTGCATTCTTGAAAAAGTTTAAAAGCTCTGTTAATTATGTCTATTCTGAGAGTGAATAAAAATGTATTTCAATGTAAATTAAAAAAAGTTTATCAAATACCTGTCTTTGTTAAAATTTGGGATAATATTTGCTTTTTTTGTCAAACAAAAACAAAAAGGAGGGGGACACATTGTAATACGTCCCCCTTATATGTACAGTTTTTTAATGAATAAATATGTCCTCTTTTTTGTATTTATAGTAACCCCATATATATATATATATATATATATATATATATATATATATATATATATATATATATATATATATATATATATATATATATATATATATATATATATATATATATATATATATATATATATATATATATACATATATATATATATATATATATATATATATATATATATATATATATATATATATATATATATATATATATATATATATATATATATATATATATATATAATATATATATATAATATATATATATATATATATATATATATATATATATATATATATATATATAATATATATATATATAATATATATATATATAATATATATATATAATATATATATATATAATATATATATATACTAGGTTGGTTGAAAAGTTCGCGGAGCGGAAATGAAAAAACAATTTTATGATTCAAAAAATGACTTTATTCTTCAGTATATTCTCCCTTAAGAGCAATACACTTTTTCCAACGATTCTCCAATTCATGTATCCCATCTCTGAAGTGCGATTTCGGAAGGCCTTCAAAATACCCATTTACGGCTGCAATGACTTCTTCATGTGATGAGAAACGCTTTCCACGTAGAAATTTTTTGAGATGTGGAAAGAGGTGGAAGTCGGACGGAGCCAGATCTGGTGAATAGGGTGGATGTTCCAAGCGTTCGTACTTTAATTCGACCAATTTCGCCTTTGCAACATCGCTGATATGAGCAGGTGCGTTGTCCTGGTGATAAATGATTTTTTTATGCAGCAAACCAGGTCTTTTCTCACGAATTTTTTTATCCAACTGGTCCAAAAGATTTTTATAATATTCACCTGTTATCGTTTTACCGGTTTGAAGGTAATCTATTAATAAAATTCCTTTCGCATCCCAAAAAACTGATGCCATAACCTTCTTTGACGATTTTGACGCCTTCACTTGCTTCGGAGCTGAACAACCGGGTTCTGTCCACTCTGCAGTTTGTTGTCGCAGCTTCGGATCATAGTGGTAAACCCAAGTCTCATCCATGGTTACGAATCGACCCGCAAAATCTGTTTTATTCTTTTGAAAACGGGCCAAATGTTCTTGAGAAAGTTTTACTCGAGTGCGTTTCTGATCCAGAGTTAGCGAATGCGGCACCCATCTTGCCAACAGCTTTTTCAGACGTAATTCATCGTGCAAGATGTGTAATACCCGTTCATCTGAGATGCCCACAGCCTCAGCAATTTCACGTTTGGTCAATCGTCTATCATCCATAACCATGTCATGCACAGCATTAATCGTTTCTTCAGTAGTAGCACTTTTTGGACGTCTAGAGCGAGGGTCATCTTCAAGGCTTGAACGCCCACGTTGAAACTCCGCAGCCCATTTGCATACTGTTGTTTTTGAAGGAGCATCATCACCCAACACATTTACCATTTCATTATGAATTTCCATGGGCTTTAAACCTTTTTTCACAAAGAATTTTATTACAGCACGATGTTCAATATTTTCCATTTCAAAAAATACTATGACACGTCTAATTTCAATAGCTTGTAAACAAAGACTGAAATGACATATCGACTTGAAATTTTTTATGCGTTCATACGAAGAATGAATACGTTTAATACAGTTATAAATTTGTTTTTACTACTGCAACATAGGTGCCGCTCCGCGAACTTTTCAACCAACCTAGTATATATATTATTATGATATTATTTATGTTAGATATTTATTATTTTAGTTGTTATAATTACAGGCCAAAAGTTTTTTTCCAAAAGCTTCCTGGCTAATCAATTATTTATATTTGTACTTGATAATTTATCTTTTAGACTCTATTAAATATCTTGGGATTAAAATTGATTCTAATCTTTCTTTTCAAGGCTATCTTAATGACTTAGCGATGAAACTCAGCAGATCTAATGGAATGCTAGCCAAAGTCCGCCATTAAACTCTGCTAAATATATATCATGCTATTTTTGGGTCCCATCTAAGTTATGCATGTCAAGTATGGGGACATCCCATAAACAAATCATTTTAAGGTTGTCCCATCTCCAAAATAAAGCCTTGAAAATAATATATTTTCAGTATAATAACTCTAAATCTAATGTACTATACCTAATCTCCAAAATATTAAAAATAAGCAACCTTGTGGTATTCTATATAACTGCCTATTTGTCTGGAATTATTATCACAAAAACCTTCCCCTATCATTCAACAATTTCTTTTCAATTACAAATTGTCACTATCCTCTTCGCTCCATCAGTAGCTTAAACTTAGTTATTCCGAAACACCAATTTGCTAAATATGGAAATAAATCCATTAAATATCAATGTATTAGCTCATGGAACAAACTACCTCCTGATCTAAAATCTCTTAATTCAATCTCTGAATTCAAAATCAAGCTTTTTAATTATCGGTTAAAAAAATACAATTAAATATTTCTACCAACTAATATTGACATTCTTTACTATATATGTCAATTCGTAATCCTTCAGTTTTTAATTTGATATTTTTAACATTTTGAAATTCTCTACTTATCTATCTACATCTATTTTCTCTGGTTTTCTATTTGTCATTTTTAAACTTTATTATTAAACTATCTATACTAATATTATTAATTTTAGTACCAATGGGTTGGTATTCTTTATTTATCTATCTATTTATCTCTTCATTCAAAAATTCTCTATTTATCAACTATTCTACTTCGTACTAAATCTTTGTTAATGCCATCACTCTTTACTAAATTTTTGTTGCTGCTGTTATTGTCTTTATTTATGAAATTCTTCTCTTATTATAATTGTTATTATTTCGTTACTATTATTATTATTGTTATAATTATTATTGTTGTTGTTGTTTTATTATTGTTCTTATCACAATCATTGTTATTATTTTTATTATTTTTATTGTTATTATTATTATTACTATTATTATTATTATTATTATTATTATTATTATTATTATTATTATTAATATTAATATTATTATTATTATTAGTATTATTAATAATAGTTATTATTATTACTTTCATCATTGACTATAACGTTACGTTGTATATTGAGGTATTTACTTTATATTAGTACTTGTACTATTGTAAATTTCCTTGTAATGTTATAACTTATTTCAAAATATATTTGATTTGATTTGATTTGATTTGATATTTTTATTTTCATATATGTATTTTCGTTAGAGACCTTTATGTGGAAATGCAGTTTCGAAATGATACATCGGGGAACACTGTTCCATTTAAACTTAAGAACTGTGGTTTTTCGTGCCCTCTATTAGAATTTCTAAGGTCAGTATTATTTTTTATTAGGTTGTTTGATTGTTTTTAAACAATTTATTGTTGCTGAATTTTTTTTAACAAAGTTGCTGGATTGTTTTTTAAACAATTAAGTTGTTGGATTTTTTTCTTAAACAATGTTTTGTTGTAGGATTGTTTTTTATACAATATTTTGTTGTTAGTTTATATTATTGTTGTTAGTTTATATTATTGTTGTTAGTTTATATTATTTTTGTTAGTTTATATTATTGTTGTTAGTTTATATTATTGTTGTTAGTTTATATTATTGTTGTTAGTTTATATTATTGTTGTTAGTTTATATTATTGTTGTTAGTTTATATTATTGTTGTTAGTTTATATTTTTATACAATATTTTGTTGTTAGTTTATATTATTGTTTGGATTTTCGATTAGATTTTAAGATAAAAACCTTTTGATTATTTTTTTCAATCTTATTTACACATTCTGATACTTATAATTTTTTTTCTTAAATAAATATAAAGCTTAAAATATGAAAAATAAAACTCAACAATATTAAGTATAATAAGTAGTTAAAACGCAAAATGTTGAATGTTTGAATGTTGAATGTTGAATGTTTGAATGTTGAATGTTTGAATGTTTGAATGTTTGAATGTTTGAACTTGTTGAATGTTTGAATGTTGAATGTTTGAACTTCTTACTATACTTGATATTGTTGAGTCAAATATAGAAACATAACTAAATTTTATTAAAAATAATAAAAATTATTTATAAATTAATTAGACTGACATCAAGAAGAACAGCAAACAAACAACATTGTTATAATGAAAGTAAAAATGATGAAATATTTACTTTTCTGCGTAAGTTTTTTTTATTTTATTTGTTTTTAAATATTTTTTTATAAAATTTGGGATTTACTTATTGCTGCCAGAGTTTCTGGTCCAGCTCTAGAAGATTTCTTATATATTAGCCTTTGGTTTACTAGGACCTTATAATAGTTGTTCATATTTCTATTTATCAAACAAACCATAGTTTCAAGTATTTATTTTTAAAAAACCGCATTTATTGGGTACATATACCTGGCACTGTTTCAAGTACATTTGAAATGAAATAAAAGCAATATCGTTTTTTAAAACAAATTGAATAATAACCATAGTTGAGTATTAATTCTACGTTTAGTTTTAGGACATTTATAACATATCACATCTTGAAAATTTTGGGAATTGGTGAGCACAAAAAGTAAAATTTTCAATATTTTAAAAACTCGAATTAGGTACAACATTATTTAAAAAATTACACAATTAAAGTAACAAACTTAATGCGGCCTGCTTTTTTAACTGCTTTTTTTCATTGCATTAATATTTGCTTACTTCGAATTCTTATGTCGAATCGCCATACCATAGTATGACTGTAATATAATTATGGCTTTTTTCAGTCAAACAATCCTTTCCAAAAAGTTTTTTTATATTTTACTTTTTATATTTTATTTTTATATTTAATATTTTCTTTTTATACTTTGTTTTTAAATGCCTAACCTTACATCTAAACGTTTTAGAACATGACTAATTCATTACAGTTTATGAATTATTAGCTCATCACCATAAGGTTTTGATTGTAAACTTTCATGTTTACCCATCTCCAATTTAATTTTTATATTTTAAGTTGTATCTTGAAATTCTTCTATGAAGTATTGTAACTGCTCCATTTAACTCCATAGAACTAGCCAATTTATAATGGTTTATGTGGCATATATGGGTGCTCATATATTAGCCCCTTTCAATGCACTTTTCATTGGTTCGTGAGATAGCAATAACAATTTTATTTAAAGAATCGCGTCCTCTTTTTTTCCAGGTTTTATCTAATGAAACTGTGCATTTAAAAGTGCTAATGTCGGTGTTTCTAGAGGCAGAGCCAGCTATTAATATACTTTCATCGGCAGCTTTAAAGTAGCTTACAAAAAGTCGACCATAAATATCATTGTAAGACTTAATTTCAACTGGCTCTACTAAGTTATGGTTATTAACATTATGGTTACGAACAAAATGTTTGTTGTTAATTATGCAGTTCTTTTGTTGTGTTTTTCTTTGTCATTCTTTAACGAGGTTGCATGCTGATTACCATAAAAACGCCTTTTATTATTTTTGTATGCATTTTTTTTCCCATTATATAACTATGATTCGGTAAATAAAAACCTTATAAAAAGTAATTAAGCATAAACCACGAACACGATGTAAAAAGTAAATATTAATAGCAAATTAATTCAAACTACAACAACATAATATACAATAATTCAAGAAAATTGCCTCCTAACATCCGTTCCAATACAAATTATCTAATATAAACAAACATATTAACCTAAAATACTTAAAGGTTGTATGACTTGGAGCTTAGATGTGAACATTTTTGGATTCTAAATCAAAAAAGCGAAACAAATTAACTTATTTAATGATAGAGAAGTACCCCTAGTGTTACTTCTGACAGGCGCTAATCAGAAGTAAGACAAATTCTACTTGGCTAGCAGAACTTCGTAATATTTAACTTAGTTTTAATACTTTTTTTTTATTATTATTATTGATTTTTTTCGGTAAATAATATTATTTTTAGAATTGAAAATTGGAGCAGCTGTGTTTATGTCGTTGACGATAGTTTTAATTTTTTCTTTATTTATTTTTATAATACGTCGTAAAAGGGCTTTGATAATTGGTCATAAAAGATTACTTGAAATATAAATAAAAACTGATAACTAATAATAATTCGAAATGCAAATATCGTAATTTTCTTTTACGATTAGAACACTAAACAAGTCTTGAAATATAACTTTTTTGTTCTGTGTTGAACATGTTGTTTTTATAATTTTTTTATTTTTAGTTAGTTTGCAAAAAATTTAATATTATTATAATGCTCTATAAAATTATATAATATAATACAGATTTAATATATTCAATTAATTTTTTTAAATAAATTTATATATGTGAAATACATTATTGAAAAAATATTTTTGTTTTCTTTTGCTCAAGGAGGTCAACATGCGCTATTTAACATTCCGAAAAAACGTTCAACTTGAGTTGTTTTTGGCATTCAATTTTTTTTAAAAAAATTTCATAAAAATCTTTCCTTAAAAAAAACTTTAAGTGCGTGTGGGCACAGTTGCATGGGTGCATGTGTGCACGCTATTCATTAAATCATATTTTTACTGAAAGATTTTAGTATAGTAACTTTAAATTGTAAAACAAATCAAATAAAAATTTATTATTTCACGATAAAGTTACAATAAGTTTATTAAATTACAAGATTATCACAAGATAAAACAAATAAACGGATGTCCAAAAAAACTTTTAGAAACGCTTTCTTTGCTAACCCAAATTTATTGGTTTAACTTTGAGAGACAAAAAAGACTTTGAATTTCATTTTAAAAATAATACCTGGTTTTTATTTGGTAAATATCAGCAGTTTAATCATTCATTTTGATTGACCTAACCTGGATTTTACTCAAACTTTTTGATTGCAAACCAAATAAGACCTTTTGAATTTTGCTTTGTCGCAATCCTTAATAGCATCAAGTGTCCAAATCTGACCATTTGAATAATGAGTCTTACCAGTTAGTAGCGAATTGTCCAATGAACAGTGGCTCTTGTCATCAACAATAAAATTAAAACTTATAATATTACAATATTTTAGATAAACTTTTTTTTTTCGGTGGGGGATGGACGGAGAGGTTTGTACTATAAAGTATTAACGACTATTAACGGCTACTTTGTATTCTTCAATATTCGTATTCAATATCCCGCTGCAATTACAACAAATTGCAATTCTCTAGAAAAATTAATTTACTTTAAGTTTATATTAAAGTATGCAATCTCTTCAAAATACTTGTTGCATTGACGTTTGTATTTGTTTGAACTATTGAATTAAAATGGCTATAATCAGGTATATTTCTTTCTTTATTTGCGCTTACTATATTACGCAGAAATTTAAATAGTTAAACTTTTTATTATGTTAAACTATTCTTCTTTTTTTAAGCCATGCAAAATTTTAAAACAAATAACAAATTTTTGAACTAATTGAGCAGTTGGCATAGTATATTTATTTTTATGGTTTGTATGCACGGCACTTTTAATTTAAGTTTATGATTTTTTTGCATGGCATTTTCAATGACCTTGCAAACAAAAACAACCTAGCCGGCACAACTCCGTAAAAAGTTACGTGCGGTTTAAAACACGCGACATTCCAATTTGACTTTAAAATTTAATAAAACACGTGTTAAACTCGATCAAAATGTCTGTGAAATCAATGTGTTTTTGGTTTACCCTTACTGAGCACGTGTCTATACAGGTTTTAATTTCAAAAGTGAAACTAGATGTGCGGGCTGGGAAGGTAAAAAAAAATTGGTAGAAATGAAATTGCCGTATTTTTTTAATGTGCTTTTTATAAACATTGGTAATAATTTAATAATTTAAACAACCCGAAAAATTTAATTGAAAAAAATAAACTTTTCTTGAAAAAAGCTCACTTGATGAGGCTAAACTATCCCTGAAAAGCTTTAAACACATTAGAAACAAATAAGGGCCCTGACAATACTAATGCCAGTATTTTGAAAGCAAAATTAAGTATAACTAAACAAACTCTGTTCGAAATTTTAAAATTTTTTTTTTTATATTGCCGTTTCATATATTTACATTTGTAAAAATTGGCCGGAGCAAGAAGACAATGACTGTCTTATCACCGAGCCCCGTTTACAAATAGTCCGTGTTTATAAACAAATATGAATATACAAAAAAAAACAACGAATATACAAAAAAACGTTAAAGAGTACATAACTTTTTTTTTTTTTTTTTTTTTAACATCTTCACTTCCAACAAGGCTGCAAGCAACCACTATAAGAGTTGGAAGTTACTGGAAGAGAAAAGACTAAATCTGTAGAGCAAGATAACGATTGACTGATGACTTAAAAGATTGCAAATTATATGAATCAGGAAAGCAAGATGAAGGAAGCGAATTCCAAAGAACTGATGTTCGAGGAAAAAAACTAGAAGAATAAGAGTTTTTGAAGCACTTAGGAACAGTCACAGAAAAAGGATGAGACTTAATTGAATGGCGAGTAACACGAATGAATTTTAGTAGATGGCACAAGGGACGCTAGCTCTTTAGAGCAGTGCCCATTATAGTATTTGTAGAAAAGAGAAAGAGAAGCGACATTACGACGATGTGACAAAGGTTGGAGATTGGCTGCCAGAGCAGGTCCAACTATGTTTACAATTCGTTTTTGCACCTTGTCTAAAAGAGAAAGAGCATCATTAGAAGATCCGCCCCAGATGTGGCAACAGTATTCCATACAGGGACGGATTTGAGATTTATAGAGATAGAGAATAGAATCTGGAATATTGTTTTGCTGATAGATATGGAAGTAACGGTTTCGATTAGAAATTGCTGCAGCGCAATGTGAGGAAAACCAAGGAGAAGAGTAAGGCTTGACCTGGAATCGTCGAGAGGGAATAAAAGATTCCATGCCAGCCTGTATCCACAAAGTTATGTAAGAAGCACATTTGTCAGCAGGAAGACGAAAGATTTCTACCCAAGGGCCATCACGAAGAAAATCACGGAAAGAGTCCCAGTCAGCTTTAAGGTAGTTGTATGTGGTACGATGATAGGGGGATTCTGATGAAGTAGAAGAATTTGATAATAGTTTTAGAGAGATCAAACCGTGATCAGAAGTACCTAAGGGTGAATGTGGAGAAATTGAGCACTGACTAGGATCCAAAACAAGACATAAGTCGAGTAGAGCATGTGATTATTGGAGTCTTTACGAATTAAAGGAAGATAACCATCAACACTAAGATCACAAGATGGGACAGCCGAACTCAAATTAGTCTCACAAAGAGCAAGTAGGTCTAGTGAACTTTGCAAGAGATAAGACTCAACAGAAGAAAAGTTACTTCGAAGACCACGAATATTAGTAAATGATAGGTTTAGAGAACTTGGTGATGACGATGGTTTTTTGTGTTTTTTAGTTTTAGGTACTTTAGTCATTTTAAATTTATAAAGAACTTGACTCAAGTATAGATAGTACTCAGTACACTATTTAACAACTAAGCAATAGCCTCATTACTATTAATAAACCCTAAGCCGTAACAAAGGGCTCCAAATGTGGACTCTGCAATGCACACCAAAAGTACAAACAGGGACACCATCCATGCACAACGTGGCACTGTTAGTACTCTGATATTTTTCGGCTGTTGATGGAATCAGCCTCTCTGAGAGCTACCACAGAGTTCGGGAAACCTGACTACCAGCCGGCCTCAGAACCATAAAACTGAGTTTTAGAGCTGTACCCTCATTAGGAGATAATAGAATGAGTTGCCCAGTCATAAAAACAGAGACACAAGCAAAACCCACGCATTGAGTCAAGAAGATCCAGCGTTCAACATCCTAAACTGGAAACAATGTATTAAAAATACATCTGCGCCAGCCTAATAGATGAGGAAGGGGTGCGAGGCTGGTCAACAGATAGAATGTGTTTACCCCTTAAGTCTTTGCCTAGGAGGCCTTCTACAAGACAGCAGCTGGATGCATGTAAAATCTGCCCAAGATGAGTATTTTTATCGAGACACCATCTCTAGCCTTTACTCAACCAAGAGCCCCAAGGCAGGGGGGCTGTTACCAGTAGCAGGAAAACCTGACCTTTTGTCAAATAATAAAATTACAATTATATTAAAAATTTAAAAATAAAGAAAGTTTTTTATACAAATATATTTGATACATATAGCAATGCAATTTTTATACAAATATATTTGATACATATAGCAAAATATATTTAGTGCTAATGGAAGCGTTTTTTCTATTTTAAAATTACCTTTTAAAAAAAATATTTAAAGTCTATTGAATTAAAATCTAATTGTAGTAAGATTCTTTTAGAAACTGTTTTAAATTTTTCTAAAGAGTAGTGTTCTTTATTAAAGTTTTTAATAAAACAATAGTTGTTAATGGGTACCAAATAAATTAAAAATAGCAAGAGTAGTCTTTATATATAAATATAATGATGATCAAACTAAAAACCTATACTTTTCAAAGCTCAAGTGTATTATGGGTAGCAGATTATATAAACATCTAGAGAAAAATTTCATATAAAAAGCTGTATAGTTTTCAAAAAGGTCCATAAAACTCATCACGCATTATTTGATCAGACAAAATGGATATTGGATGGTCTTGAAAATTACAACTTTATTCCAGACCTGTTTTGTTATTTCTTTTTAATAGCTAGATATATAAGGAGTAAAAAACAATTTAAAAGTTCTAAAGTCACTTAACAGAAAACTAGGAGTATCGTATGAATTAAAATATACACGCAAACAAATCATTAGCTATAGTGTGTGGTATATGAGCATTTTAATATTGGACTTTTATTATTTCTTCTATATGTTGATGATATCTACTTTTTTTTTAACACCAATAATTTTAGTCTCTTTACAGATGATACAAATATATATTTTTTCCATTCAATTGTGCTAGAAAACCTTAATGGATGGTTTACATCAAATAAGTTCTCTAAATACAAAATATCACTAAAACTATATATATATATATATATATATATATATATATATATATATATATATATATATATATATATATATATATATATATATATATATATATATATATATATATATATGTATATATATATATGTATATATATATATGAATATATATATATATATATATATGTATATATATATATATATACATATATATATATATATATATATATATATATATATATATATATATATATATACATATATATATATATATATATATATATATATATATATATATATATGTATATGTCTTGTTTTATAAAAAAGTGTACAACTGGTTTTTTCACAGTTCAAAGACAGTTTATTGGTTTTAAACAAGAGATTAAAGTTTTGAAGTTTAAAGTTTATATTTTCAAACAGAGTATTAGAATTGAAACGATTGAAAAACAAGTTAGTATTGTCAGCCTACATAATATAAATTATAGAAGATATTTTATATAATGCATTATGCATATCATCGATGTATATAAAAACTATATATATATATATATATATATATATATATATATATATATATATATATATATATATATATATATATATATATATATATATATATATATATATATATATATATGTATATGTCTTGTTTTATAAAAAAGTGTACAACTGGTTTTTTCACAGTTCAAAGACAGTTTATTGGTTTTAAACAAGAGATTAAAGTTTTGAAGTTTAAAGTTTATATTTTCAAACAGAGTATTAGAATTGTAACGATTGAAAAACAAGTTAGTATTGTCAGCCTACATAATATAAATTATAGAAGATATTTTATATAATGCATTATGCATATCATCGATGTATATAAAAACTATATATATATATATATATATATATATATATATATATATATATATATATATATATATATATATATATATATATATATATATATATATATGTGTGTATATATATATATATATATATATATATATATATTGATTATATAGACAAAGCCATGTCACTCCTTTAACTTACTAATTCAACTTCCTCAGTTGATCATTAGAGGTATTTATATAAAACTAGCAGCAAGCAACCCGTAATACGCCTTGTTAGTAAATAAAATTAAAAAAAAAAACCGCGTATAGAAAAGCCTAGAAAACACTTTAAAATAGAAAAGCCTAGAAAATGACGTAATTTGACTAATAATATTAAATTAGCGTATTAATATTATCAGAAGAATAAATGCAATCAAAATCAGAGAAATAGTATTTGAAAAATATTAGAAGAGTCACGCTTCTCACAGAAAATAAAATTTCAAAAACAGTAAATATTATGTAAATGAAACCAAACACCTTTTTAATAAGACATTTTTGAAAAATAAAAAGGAAAAACCTTTAAGAAATACCTTGAGAAAAGAAGTTTTTAGGAATCGTATTTCATGAAAATTTATTATGGAGAAACCATATAGGTCTCATAAAATCGAAAATATCTTTTGCAATAGGGCAAGATTGCAACTGGGGCAAGATGGCTTTTCATATAATAACTCAACAAAAAAACTTAAAAATGGGTGAAAGCAAAACTGCTTTTACATCTTGTATCAATTGTTTTTTTTTTAATATTATCAACGCAGTTTTATACCATAAATTTACTTTTTGCCCTTAAAAAATACCTCGGTTTCAGTTATGCATAATGGATGATGTTCTTCAGGTGTATTTTTTTTTAGGAATATTTTTTTGCAACGCGTGTGTGTTTTGCCTTACTTTAATAAAAGTAGTTTGGAGTTTTGAAAATTTTATAAAGTTGGAGGCAGAAATCACATATTAAATCATAACGTGACTAGATGACAAACTTATGAACTTTTTATTTTAACTTTTATTTCAAATTTTTTTACTTGCAAATTGAAAATTCATGTAGGCAATTAATCATTATGATAACATAAACATACTGACATAGTATGATAGCTTCATAACTCATAATTTTGCAATAAATCAAGGGTAATAAAACGCTTGTCATCTTGCCTCGTCTTCCCCTACTATTCATTCATTCCTAGTAATCGACCATTACAATATTACTTAGAGAAGCAGTTACTCTTTGGCATTGAAAAAAAAAAAGTGAAACCAAGCAAGTTGAAATCTATGTGTTATAAAAAAAGATACATTCTTGCCAAACGGTTGAAAATTGAGCACTCAAACTTTAACACTTTTATGAACTAAACATGTTTTAGAAACTAAACATGCTTTAAAAAAATATTCTCCATTAATTTAGAGAAACCATTCTGAAGAGTTATAAATGTTTGCTTGCAAATCCAGAGATCAATGGTTTGAGCTAACATTACGACATTGGAAAGTAAGGAAAAGTACTATGTACTAAGGAAAGTAAACTTCCTAGTAATATTTACTACACTTAACTGGCATAATTTAAAAAAAATATTTTTCTTAGATTTTTTTTTGAAAATACAATAAATAAAATTATTATTATAATATTATATTATTAGTATTATGAGGGCCGGCGCGAGTAGGTGTCACGTGGGGGTGGGGGGTGGGGGGTTGGGGGTGCCATTACAACTTTTGCCGACTAAAAAAATAAAAAAAGGTCCTCGTTTTCCAAAATTTACCGACTAGCTTTACGACATTTGCCGACTGTCTAGATTACCGACTAACCTGTATCGAAAGAGTCCAATTTGCCGACTAAAAATCATTGATGGGGGGGGGGTCACACCCCACCCCTATCGCGCCGGCCTTGAGTATTATATTACCAATATATTTTTTGTTTACTTTATCTCAAGACGACAATCAGCAATCTCTTTAGTTATAGATTTTAGAGAAAGAGTTTATTTTATTTTACACAACGTTCCTGACAACTTCTTTTTCCGGTCATTATTTATTATGTACTTTTATTAATATTTAAAACATGTAAAACAATTCAAAATGTTTAATTATTTAAAAAATTGATAAACTAACTTTATAGCTTTATTATGTTATCTTTCAATTTATCTTTTAAATAATTCTTTAAAAATCTTTCCATCATAAAACTGGAGACGAAATCAATGAGTTTGTAATAAACTCTAACAGCAGTCAAACTAAAATCAAACTTAGATAAACAGTTTTTATCAAACTTAAATAAAACAAACTTTTTTATTAAAAAACAAACAAACGAAAAAATTTGCAAAACTTAAATAAGCGTCAAGTATAAATAATAATATTTTTGTAAAGTTTTGCAGAAAAGATTCATTATATCCAAGCCTGATAACGTAGATAAAAGGCTGGACTGGAATCTCTAAAATTGGTCTTAATGGCGCTCCTTAAGTTTAATATCATTAATAAACCAAAAAAACATGAAAAAAAAATTCTCGCATTGGTTTTGGTACTTTTTTAGCTGCGTACCATCATTATAAATTAATTTTTTTTTAGAAACTAAAATATAAACAAACAAATAAGCAACAAAATAAAAATTTAAGTTAAAATACTTTAAGTAAACTTTTCTTTTCATTATAAGACTATCTGCCTTAAAAAAAAAAAAATTATTGATATAAGTCAGAATTTTTTTTTACTAAAAAATCTTTTTTTTTTTTTTTGTGCTTCTTGAAGACCTAAACTTACATTTTTTTAAATCAGGAAGTCCGTGATATAATAAGGGTCTTAGAGTTGAACCCAATTTACCTAATTCACTAACTCTATAATCTAATTACTCTCGTTCTCTTCCCGAACACAACTTTCGTGGAAAAAAATCTGTCAAATATTCCTTTTTCTCGATTATCTTTTTTGTTGACTAAGCTGGGCAATACGCACAACAACAAGCAAATATGGCGGGCTTAAATATTCTTGTTTTTGGGTTGTGTGGAATTTAGTGATTTTTCTATTCAATCGAGATAAATAACTTCTCCAATAAAGCTATTTAGGTCCAATATAATAAGATTATTTTCATGGGTATGATTTCTAAATCAAAAAAAATTGTCAAAGAAAATCGTTTACTGATGGAGGAAGGTATAGTACATAAAATATATAATAAATTTAAAATGTATATTAGTTTGAGATTTCAAATCAATTCATAAAAATTACAAAATATTTAATTTATTTATTGTTTAAGCTGATTTTAAAACATTTACTGATACCGTTTGACCTTTTATTTGAAAAAAATTTAGATTCTTTGAAATGTTATTCCTACATTATTTGAAAATCTATACTGCACATTTTTAAATATAAGCAATGCTTTTATGTTTAAAGGAGAATTTTTGAAACTGTTTAAGAATTTAAACAAATGAATTAAATTCTAAGTGACATTTGAAAAGATAGACATTTTAAAATGTGCATCTTTTCTTATCAACAATCCTATGACTTTTTTTTTTTTTTTGAACCGAAGCTATTTTATTTAATCCTCATAATTATTGACAGCCTATCTTTTATTTATTTTAAAATTTAGCTTTTTTACAAATTGTCAATCATTTTGTGAAAATTTTTTTATGCATATCTTTTACCAGTTCTTCATTGTAAATTTTATAATATCTATTCTAGTGAAACCAGAGTCCACAAAAAAAAGATTTGATTTTTGGCAAAAAGCGCGTAATTTTTAAATGTTTTAAATTTTTAAATGGGTTCTTTTATATATTTTTCATGTCTTAAGACCACTCTTTATAAAAATAACTTGCTGTAGGACATGTTTTTTCAAAAGTAGTTTTTAAAGTTAAGATTTCCTAAGTACCAAAATACATTAAATTTGTTTGAAAATTTACTTATAGATTAAAAAAAGAATAAGGAATCTAATGGAATGGGAACTTTTTTAACATTTATACATAATTTCTAAGTTCTCAGCATTTAAAAACTTTAAGGCCGGTTTAATAAAAAAAAAACATTTTCTAAAATAGTTCCCTGTGAAAAAAGCAAGTATAGCCTTTCTTCTATTTAAATCAAGTATTTATTTATGTTTTTTCGAAAAAATGGTACTTAGGAATTCTGTTTAGATATTATGTTGATAATAGTGATGTACCGATTAATCGTAATCTATCATCATAATGTTGGCTTAATAGGCCGCTTTTTGTACAATGCGAATCGGTATTGGCCTCTTTTACCAATTTTCCAACCGATGGCATTTTAATATTTTTATTGTGCATTATTATAATAATTAAACAATAAATAAACAAAATTTTATGCATCACAATTTTTTGATAGATTTTTATTTTGACTTTGCTTACAGCCAAAAGCTTTAAAAGTGACCTATTTAAGCATTGTTATCTATACTTTATAAAATTCTTTTTTACTCCTAAAAAAGCTGCAAGCAATCACTATCAAGTTGGGAGTTGCTAGAAAAAAAGAGTAGAGCAAGGTAAATGGTTGTTATAAGAAAAAGTTATAGAGCAAGGAAATGGTTGACAGAAGAAAGTTGAAGGTTGTTTGAGTCAGGAAAACATGAAGATGGGACAGAGTTCCGAAGAGTTTAAATGCTGGGAAATAAGCTAGACAAATAAAAGTTTTTGGAGCATGAAAAGACAGATACACTAAAAGAATGAGACTTTTATGAATGATGAGTCAGGTAAGAATGAGTTTTGGTTGATGGAACTAGAGATGAAAGATCCTTTGAGCAGTAACCATGATAGTATTTTTAGAAAAAAGAAAGAGATACAACTTCACAACAATAGGAAAGAGGCTCAAGTTCAGCAGATAGACCGGGTCCAACTGTTTAACAATTAGTTAATTCATCAGGATCGGTATCGGTCCATCGGCATTGGTATCGGCATCAGCCAAAAAAGTGATATTGGTACATCACTAGTTTATAATGTTTATATTCTATTGTGTATTGTTTGTTTTGATTTTGGCGCTTGATTTTGAATGTTTTTTAATGTTATTTTGGTAACATTTCATGCCAAATTTTCCATACTTAAGGATTAAGTTCTCTACAACTATGTTAATTATATTGACCAAAACAAAATCCTCTGGAGTGGCTATCTATTCTCTTGTGACCCTTGTTTATATCTACATTTATTTACAACTTTTAAAATTTTTTATTTGTATATTAATTGAAAATATATTTATAGTAATTTTTATATTGGTGACTTTATTTTTTAATCTTATAAGATTTGTAATTAGCATAATGTTTTCCATTATAATTAATCATTAAAAGGTAATGGTGCATTTGTTCTGATGAAATGGTAATTAAGTTATTATCCAAGCTTCTAAATCAAAGTGTATAAATGTTTACATATTTCTAGAAATATGAAATATTAAAAAATATTAAGAAATAAAAAATATTGATGAAACATCAATTGTTCAGAACTTTTGTCTCAGTGATTATCTTATAATATACAATTTTTTTGGTTTGTTGTCAACCATTTTTTGCTCTTAAACACCTTTTTTACTTTCTAATAATTTCCAACTTGAGTAAAATAATAATAAAAAAAAAAAAGTTTTAGAGATTTTTTCTACAATAGAAAGTGATTTCCATTGCAGAATTTGACTAATGTAAACATTGTGATATCTTGAATTATATTGCAAGTAGAATAGCATTTCGTAGTCAAGTGTTTCAAAATAATTGCAATGTTTATCATAATATTTAGTGAGTTTTTTTTAATTTAAAAAATATGGTTTATTGTTGTTTAGCGTGGAAAATAACGACCAGTCAATGGTCAATAACCACCTGAAATGACTATAAATGTTATTTTGACCTCCCAAAATGAGTTCTTGCTGATCATGGTTGACCAGTTGAAAAAAAATCAGAGATTTAAAAGTAAAGTTTGACAAATAATCAGGATGTTAATTGGAAAATGCATATACTAAAGTTTAAAAAAGTTATTTAAATTTTGAAAAAGGTTTAAAATAATTTTATTGATACGCTATTTTAATTGCGGTCGTTAAAGCAAAAAGAAGTTAAACCAAATTTTTTCTTTAATCCTTTTATTTTTCAATGCCTGGTTTTATCTTTGTTTAAAAAAACTTTCCAATAAAATTATTTTTTATCAATATAATTAAATATATAAATATATAAATTAATATGAATAAAAATTAAAAACTTATCAATTTTTATCAATATAATTCAATAGTTAGAAATTATTAATTCATTAATAATTTTATGTTACTAATTCTCTTCCTTATTATATATTCGAGTATATATTAAATTCATTTTTGATAAAAATTTTATCTAATAATTATTATTATTAACAGAAACAGTAATTTTTCTGTTTTAACTACCCTGAAATCATTAATTCGCTTTGTTAATGAACGTATTGCATGTAACATATGTAAAGTATAGGTAACGCTGTAAGCTATAATCATTAAGTTTTTTTCTTCACTTATTTAAATGAATTTTATTTTACTGATAGTGAAAATCCTTTTGCTTAAATGATTGAAGTTCTTATTTTATTACTATTTTAATATAAAAATTTTATTATTTTATTAATAATATAATAATATATAATAAATTATGTATTTACTATGAACAGTTTTTCTTTTATCTGCTCTTAGTTAATTTGTTTTATATTTCTTATCTTTTTATTTATTTTCTCATAAATTTTGCCGCAAATTACAAATGAATTAATAGTTTTTATTTATTTTCTTGTAATGGTTTAATGGTTTATAGATAAAATAAAAATTACTAATTAAGCGCTTGAGTATTTTTTTTTTTAAAACAGGATTATTAAAAAATTAATATATTTAAAATCTTTTTATGTGCGAAAGTTTTTCTTCTTCAACTTCTAAGATTTATTTAATTGACAAGGTGCAAAAACGCATTGTAAACATAGTTGGACCTGCTCTTGCAGCCAACCTTTAACCTCTGTCACATCGTCGTAATGTTGCTTCTCTTTCTCTTTTCTACAAATACTATAATGGGCACTGCTCTAAAGAGCTAGCGTCTCTTGTGCCATCTACTAAAATTCATTCTCGTGTTACTCGTCATTCAATTAAGTCTCATCCTTTTTCTGTTACTGTTCCTAAGTGCTCCAAAAACTCTTATTAGTCTAGTTTTTTTCCTTGAACATCAGTTCTTTGGAATTCGCTTCCTTCATCTTGCTTTCCTGATTCATATAATTTGCAATCTTTTAAGTCGTCTGTCAATCGTTATCTTGCTCTACAATCTTCATCTTTTCTCTTCCAGTAATTTCAAACACTAATTAGTGGTTGCTTGCAACCTTGTTGGAAGCGAAGATAATTAAAAAAAAAAAAAAAATTATTATTCGAAATTATTATATGTAATTTAGAACATAATCCTTTAAATCCTCAATGGATCTTTTTTTTTTCATTTAATCTTATCTATTATTTTTTGATCAACTTTTCCTGCCATTTGCAAAGTCATTGCAATGAAATATTTTCTTTTTAAATAAATTAAAAATTATCAATTGCCTGTTTTGTATTGATTTTATTTAAAATTGTTATTATTAAAAAAAAAATTTCTCATTACTCTTCAAGCATTACTTTATTTTTGTACTTATAAAGTTTAGTCAAGAAAACCTATTACTAAAACTTGAATAAAAAATTTTTTTGATTGTCCAAAAAAAACAATTGACCATCAATTCCTAATGTTGGCCGGTCAAACTGACTGCTCACCTTCAATTCCTTATTTTCCACACTGGTTGTTTTTGGTAAAACAAGTACAGATTTTAAAAATTTAAAAGCTGACTAATATAAACTATACACTAGATAATCAGTATCGAGTCTTGGTTTATTGTCTGGTATTGTTGCAATACCTTACTGTATCAAGATTGAAATCATAAGAAATTAATATTAAAAGTATTGATTATATTGGCATCTTTTGATATCCATACCAATAGTATTATTTGGTATTGTAGCTCTTTTTTTTTTTACAAGAATTTGTATTTTATTTTTCTAAATGATTAATATTTTGAAATCGTTAATTTATATAATAACTGAGATGTAGGGGAGAGGGGGAAAAAGTGGAACATTAAAAATGTTTCTAGAATAATTTTAATATTTTTTTTATATAATATATGTACTACTCCAAAAAAATTTTAAAAAGTAAAGCATTATTTCGGCACTGATTCCATTCCCTAAGGTTGAGAGCAAGTCATAATAAATTATAAAGTTTACAATATATGTTTTTTTGATTTTAAAGGAACTGTGCTATTAGGGCAAAGTAGGGCAACCTTGGGGTGAAATAGACAAGGGAGTAATTAATAACATATTAACAAAAATTATAAATTTAAAACTATTAAATTCCTAAACCACCTAATCCTCATCAAAATATTCAAGAAGTTTCCACAAAATATTTACACAAAAGTGGTATGGAAGAAATAGGAGATTAATTAATTTTCTTTGTCTCACTTCATCTATCAAAAAATTATTTTTTTCGGGTATTTATCAAAAAAGTGGTTTTTGCCACATGCAGTAAGACAAAGTGATGTTTACTAAATAGAAGCGTAAAAATCTCATTTTTCGACCTTGCCTGATTGGATTTTTTGAGATGTCCTAATTCTACTACATCTTCCCCCCCACCTATCCCTACTCTTCCCTATTTAATTGACTCTTATTGTATAATAGAAATTCTCAAGGATTGTGTGGTATTGTATCATATCATATTTATCATTTATTGTTTCAAATAGTATCGCAACATTATTTTAAATAACTGTGTAGAATCGCTTCCGTAATTTAACTTTTTATCTGGTATTGTTGTTTTAATTTAAAATGTGTAGTATTGTAGTATTGCTATAGTGTTTCATCTGGAATCGTTACTTTAATTACACTGTTAGAATTGGAAGCAGGACTGTGGAGTCAGAGTCGGAGTTGCAGAGTCACAGCATTTTTAGCGGAGTCGGAGTCGCTTAACAAAATTGCGACTCCGATTCCATTAGTAAAGCTTCTAGGTATTGCACATGCGTGTACTAAACATTCAATTAACCTTATGTTCATACTAAACCTCAAAGAAACAAGAATGAATTTTAGTAGATGGCACAAGAGACGCTAGCTATTTAAAGCAGTGCCCAGGAGGGATCGCTCTCGATTACTGACCATAGAAGTAATATTTATTTTTGAAAAATTAGCCAGCTTTTTTAGTTGTTTTGAAAACATTTAAAAAAAAAAAAGAGCATCAAAGATTAAATGGACCGATGAGAGACAATTACAAAAAAAAAAAAAACTAGAGAAAGAAAATAACTTTTAACGCAAAAAAATTTAAAGCAAAATAAATTACGTTTAGAACAAATATTTTCAAAACATTGCTCTTTTTTAATTTTTTTATAAAATTAAGCAACATTATTTATATAAAGTAACATTTTATAATTGCTTAATAAGGAAACAAATGTTCTTTTATTTATCAAAGAGTATAATATAATTTTTATTTATATACTCATGTCTTATTTCCAGTGCTGGATTAAGGAGGGTTGGGGTTAGAGGCTTCTATAGCCCCAGACCCCGCAATGTTAGGGGTCCTGAAATAGTCCAGAAGACCTTTTTTTTAGTCATTTTTATGCTGTGGCACATAAAAAAAGCCTCCAAAATAAAAATAGCTCTGGCCCCGTATAATCTAATAAGATTTTAATAAAACTAAGGCTAGTTTTACTTTTATTTAGGCTAAATTATTTTATAAATAAAAAAGTTTATTTTTTTTAATAACTATTTTATACTTTGCGTAGTTTGAAAGGTTTAACATGTTTGAAACAATTCTTCTTAGGAAGATGAATAAATTGAATTAACTAGATAGAAATCAACTAAAAAGTTTAAAAATACTTTATGAAGAGGAAGCGGAACTGCTTCACTATACCGCTGATGATGTTTAGTGAGTGGGCTTTTTAATTTTAATAAGTATTTAAAACAGAAAAAAGTAACTTTAAGTATAATGAGTTTGAAAAAATGGCAACTAAAGCGAATATAATTAGAGTTAGTAAACCAATATCTAAAAACTTAAAAACTTTTCATTATATTTAATAACTCTCTCTCTCTAATAATAATTACATTGAAAACGCAATTATTGTTAAAAGTCTTTTTTTTTTTAACAAAATTAATCGTAAAAATTGCTTTAAAAGATTACATTAGAATAAAAAACAGATTCACAAAATGACATTTACATAAAAAATATATGCTTTTTAAATAAAAAATAAGAATATGCTAATAAAATCTATGATATATAATAAACTTTCAAAATTTTTAAAATTTAAAAAATAAATATTTAAAACATTTATTTTTGTAAGCAAATAATAATAGTTTAAAAGATTTACGGCTTTGCAGATGTGGCTCCGAGAATGAACCACAGTATTAAATTAATAGTTTGTTTGATAATATATTCTTAAAACAATTTATGCTAGAAATCTCAAAACTCAACAAATTTCGAATAATACAATTTTTAAAACATTTTAACAGAATACTCGAGAACATTATTTTGCTTAGTCAGCGTATTTTTTGAACCAATAGAATTAGTTTGTTCGTAGATTTGGTTTTTTAGTTTTCGAGAATATTTTTTTTTATTCTTCCGCACCAAGATGTTTTGAGAACATTCAAGTTTATGTTTGTTTACATGTATGTCAGTAAAATAAAAAAGTTTTTTCTAGAAGATGAAAAAATTTTTTTTTCATCTTTTAATAATTTTCGGTGTAAAGACATATTCAACATTATAATTAAACCACTTATAACTAAACCTCAATAACATTATAACTAAAGCTCATTATAACTAAACCTCAGTAACTAAACATTATTAACTAAACCTCTAAAAAAAACAATCTCACTTGTATTTTTTTAATAATAAATTAAAAAGGTCACACTTAAAATTTGTTTTTTTAATCATGACAATGCAACCATTCTATGCAATTCTTTTTATTATAGGAATGTGGTATCGAACCGATACTGATGGGATCAACATTAGTATAAAAGCGATACCACAGGATTTGAGACCATCCTTCTTGGTATCGACTTAAAAGATATTATCTAGTATGTAATATAAACATAATGTTAATGCTCCCAAAAAGAAATTTTTAGAATATTCTCTAAATCTTTCAACATACTACAAATTACACTTTTAAATTAATGATATTGATAATATATCTAAAAAAATCTTTGTAGAATATCTAGATATACTACTAAATCGACTAAAATATTGGTTTTTAACACAATAATTGCACCACTCTATCAGTACTGTATCTCGCTTATTAGGAACAAATTAAGGAAGTCTTCAAATAATTCAGCTCCTGCAAAACAGAGCAATCAGATCTATCCGCAAATGTAATTGGTTTACACATAGTGTTGATATGTTTAATAAATTGAATTGGCTATCAATCACACAAATTATTACAGTAAAAGTTCTTATATTTGTACATGTTATCAAATTAGAAAATATGTCTGTACTAAAAAATATGTGAGTTAAAAATAAGGATATGCATAGTCATTACACCAGAATATTTAAGGACTATCATATTCTTTAACACAATAATAGTATTGGATGGAATATATATGTATATATATATATATATATTCCATCCAATATATATAATTTATATATATATATATATATATATATATATATATATATATATATATATATATATATATATATATATATATATATATATATATATATATATATATATATATATAAAGAGTTGTAATATATATGTTATGTATATATAAGAGTTTTACTATAATATATATATATATATATATAATATATATATATATATATATATATATATATATATATATATATATATATATATATATATATATAAATAGTTGTAAAGAGCTATTTTTTTATACATACATACATACATACATGCATACATACATACATACATACATACATACATACATATGTATGTATGTATGAATGTGTGTGTGTGTGTTTTATTATTAGCAATTTATTTTAGATTTTTTTTTTTACACTTTTTGTAGAATGCTAAAATTATTTTAATTTTTCTTATACAAACAGAAACCTCTAAATAAATGACATTAGAATTTAATAATATGGAATTTTGATACCAGTAATTAACCTGTTTAATTCATTATTTAGACGTCAATTTCCATGAAAGTATTTATAAAAATAGGCAAGAATTTGTGGATGAAAAATAGTAAGAAATTTATTTTAAAATATGTTGGTTTACATTTTTATAATAATAAAGTTTGTTCTTTATATGTTATCAAAATATTGTTTCTAGCATAATTGCAACTACATAAGAAAGACAATTTATATCAATCATAATATAAATTTGATATTTAAATTCCCAAATAAGATGTGTTCAATTCATAAACACGCAAAAATTGGAATTAGAGAATGTTTTTAAAGTTATTAAGTTGTTCTAAATAAATGTTTATAGATATAAGTAAAAATAAGTATTTATAGTTATAAATATAAATAAATATTTATAGATATAGGCAAAATCTATTTAGTTATTTTGTTTCTTTTTTGTATAAAAGAAATTTTTTTTTTTTTGACAAAACCTGCCTTTTTTATGTTGTGAGAATTTAACTTTCAATATTTCATTGTTAGATATTTTACTGCTGTTATTCTTTATTATTTTAAATTATACATTGTTTATGATATTTATGTTTCATAATTAAACTTATAGCATTATTTATATAATTTTTAAGTTGTTTGTTTTTGTTGTTAATTATTAAAACTATATTTGCTAAATTCCTATAACATAAAAAAAGGCAGATAGAATTCTATAATTCTTATGCGACAAAATATTTTTTAAATCTGGTTTGATTAATAAATGCAGTTTTTCTTTATTATTATTTTGTGTAAGATAGTTTTAATTTGTTAGTAGTAGACGGAGGTTCTGATGTCCACTTTTTTTTTTTTTTTTTTTTTTTTTTTTTAGTATGCATTTTTTTTTTTTTTAACATTTTAATTTTTTTCAATATGAAAAATTGTATTCAAAAATTAATTTTTGTCAAATACCAAAATGATTTTTTGTTTTATTTCTAAAAGCATAACAAAGTATTACTCTTAAATCAGAATGGCCCAACTTTAAATTTGACTATTCATATTTTATGACAAAGTTATTTTTTAAACGTAAAATAAATACTCATTAAACAAGAAAGTAGTTTTGCATTAAAGCCACATTTTATCCTCGCTCATCCTGCCTCAGTTATTAACAAGTTTGTTTTTGAGCTTTGCAAAATGTTACAATAGTTGATATAAAAATGATATATCAGATATTATTTACAGCTTTTTTGACACCTAATAACTAAATTCTTACTTAATTGTTGCTTTACTTGATATAAATACTGAGTGCTTGTTATGCTTGACTAAAAAAAAGGTTTTATTTTACAAAACAATATTTTAATTGCTAACAGTTGTCAAATATCACTAATTTGAAATTTCAATGCAAGTACAAATAGTTAAAAAATCAGTGTCAATCTAAATTAATCAATGGACAATTACATTTTTTGAAGCATTAATTACTGAAAAAAACCTGATTTATTAACCATATATTTTTAAAGGAAAAAATTACCTGCTGCTTCCAACAAAAAAAATTTTTTAAAGAGGAGAGAGGTGTAATAGCGAAAATGGATTTTGCCTATATCTTGATAAATATTTTTTGAACAATAAACACAAATTTTCAAACTGGTATTGGGTTACTTTCTATTGGGGCCAAAGTATGGACCTATACAATTAACTGCACTTTGTCTCATTTAAATTTCCTTTTGTTTTTTATAATTTTTTATTTTTTATACAGTATTACGCGTTCCTATTTCAAAGAAGATAAAGGTATGATTTTTTAGTGTTTTTTTTTGTTACTTTTTATTAATTAAATAAGAATTGATTTTTATTGCTGTTTTTCTATTTGTTCTTGAAGTTTGTTAAAAAGCTAAGAAATTATTAGGGGTTTTTAAACTTTTAAATAATTTTTTTTTATGAATCGCTCAAATGCATGTAAATGCTATTACTGCATTAACTTACGTTAATGCATGTAAACGTTGTTACCGTACTAAACTTATTTAGTTTAGTGCGGTACTACTAGTGATATTTTAAACAAATATTGGATATTAAGTTATTCTTGTATACATGGAAACTCAACTTTTATTCAAGTTCCTAAATTTGTTTTTATTTTATCCAAATGAAATATATTTTCTTTTAAAAAAAAATTTCTTTTCTTTTATATGGATATTTAATTTACTAATTAAACATAAACAGTTGTTTATTTAATTGTAACAATCATTCTTACACATATTCTTATCAGTTTAGCAAATTAAAATGATTCAGCTTGGTTTCTTTTTACAAAAATAATTAAAAAAAAATTTTTTTTTTAATGTAAAGTGCAACAAAATTAACTATTTTGATTGATTCAATTGGTTAATAGCTGCAACCTTTTTTCATTATCTATATATATATATATATATATATATATATATATATATATATATATATATATATATATATATATATATATATATATATATATATATATATATATATACATATATATATACATATATATATATATATATATATATATATATATATATATATATATATATATATATATATATATATTATATATATATATTTTTTTTTTAAATTATCTTCGCTTCCAACAAGGCTGCAAGCAACCACTAATTAGTGTTGGAAGTTACTGGAAGAGAAAAGATGAAGATTGTAGAGCAAGATAACGATTGACAGACGACTTAAAAGATTGCAAATTATATGAATCAGGAAAGCAAGATGAAGGAAGTGAATTCCAAAGAACTGATGTTCGAGGAAAAAAACTAGACAAATAAGAGTTTTTGGAGCACTTAGGAACAGTAACAGAAAAAGGATGAGACTTAATTGAATGACGAGTAACACGAGAATGAATTTTAGTAGATGGCACAAGAGACGCTAGCTCCTTCGAGCAGTGCCCATTATAGTATTTGTAGAAAAGAGAAAGAGAAGCAACATTACGACGATGTGACAGAGGTTGAAGGTTGGCTGCAAAAGCAGGTTTAACTATGTTTACAATGCGTTTTTGCACCTTGTCTAAAAAAGAAAAGGCATCATTAGAAGATCCGCCCCAGATATGGCAACAGTATTCCATACAAGGCCGGATTTGAGATTTATAGAGATAGAGAATAGAATCCAGAGTAAGAAAGTGACGAGCTCGATAAAGAGAAGCAACTTTAGCAGATGCTAATTTTGCAATGGATTTGATAAAAGGTTTCCAAGAAAGATAAGAAGTAAGAGTTAATCCTAGAAGATGAAGGGTAGGAGACTCATCGAGTACATTACCGTTCATAAATATAGGAAGGTCTAAATTATTGCGATAACGATTGGCAAAAAAAAATTGAGTTTTATCTGAATTAAAGTTCACCAGCCACTGTGAGCCCCATGCTGTAGCAGAAGTGAGATCTTTTTCAAGCTCAGATGCCCCCTGCAAGCAATCAGAGGGAGTTGGCTTCTTATCGTGACAAGAATAAATGGTAGTATCATCAGCAAACAATGCCACCTTAGATGAGAATATGTGGAATATTGTGAAGAATGTGAGAATATCTGGAAGATTGTTAATGTAAATTAAAAAGAGTATAGGGCCAAGGATTGAACCTTGGGGAACCCCTGAGGTTACAGAATAAGAAAAAGAGTGCTGTCCATCAAGGACAACTTTTATACTACGATTGGAAAGAAAGGATTCAATAATCTTAAAGATGTTTCCAGATTTCTGCAAGACTATAACAGGTATGTTGTCCGGGCCGCAAGCTGTAGAAGAGTCTAAGCGGGAAATCACTTTAGATACAGAAGCTGGAGTGATACGAATGTCGAGCAATGGAACAACCTGTTTGACGGCTATATCAGGTAGAACGCAACTAGTGGCATCAAGAGATGATATTGATGAAAAGTTCTAGGCAAACAATTCAGCTTTGTCTTTAGGTGAGGTGACAAAGTCTGAACCATACAAAAGAGGTGGAATTACAGACTTGCCCTTATTATTGATACTATTAAAGATTCTCCAGAAGTCGCGAGAGGCTAATTTTTGTGATGAAATACGAGATTTCATGATCTGAGAATAGCGAGCTTTGGCGTTAGACAAAACCTTTTTACAAAGGTTCCTAGCAGTAATAAACAGACGTCTGTTTTCTGGAGAACTGTTTTGCTGATAGATATGGAAGTAATGGTTTCGATTGGCAATTGCAGCAGCGCAATGTGAGGAAAACCATGGAGAAGAGTGAGATTTGACCTGGAATCGTCGAGAGGGAATAAAGGATCCCATGCCAGCCTGAATCCACGAAGTAATGTAAGAAGCACATTTGTCAACAGGGAGACGAAAGATTTCTACCCAGGGGCCATCATGAAGAAAATCACAGAAAGAGTCCCAGTCAGCTTTAATGTAGTTGTATGATGTACGATGATAGGGGGATTCTGATGGTAAAGAAGAATGAGATAATAGTCTTAGAGAGACCAAACCATGATCAGATGCACCTAAGGGTGAGTGTGAAGAAACTGAGCACTGACTAGGATCAGAAACAAGACATAAGTCGAGTAGAGAAGGTAAATGATTTGGGTTGTCTGGAAAGCGAGTTGGAAAGTTGACTATTTGAGTTAGGGATTGAGAAAGACAAAAGTTGTGGGCCTTAATGCCTGCAGAATCACTGACACTAGAGCCAAGCCATTCAGTGTGATGAACATTAATATCACCGACAACAACAATATTGGCTGATGGATAAAGAATGAGGGCTTGGTCAATATAATCAGAAATAACATCAAGAAGAGTGCAGTCTTGAGATGAGGGAGAGCGATATAGAACAAAGAGAAAGGTGATAGAGTGAAGTGGTGCTAAACAAAAGCACATAAAAGAGTAGTCTATGTATTCAAACCTAGTTTCCCGAAAAATGGGTGAATTCTTACGAATGTAAATGCCCAGGCCAAGCATGTGACTATTGGAGTCTTTATGAATTAAAGGAAGATAACTATCAACACTAAGATCACAAGATGAAACAGCTGAACTCAAATTAGTCTCACAAAGAGCAAGTAGGTCTGGTGAACTTTGCAAGACGAAGTTGCAAGAAGAAAAGTTACTTCGAAGACCACGAATATTGGTGAATGATAGGTTTAACGAACTTGGTGATGACTGTGGTTTTTTGTGTTTTATAGTTTTTGTTACTTTATTCATTTTTAGATTTGTTAAAGAACTTGACTCGAAACATAGATAGTACTCAGTACACTGTTTTATAGCTCTAGCAATTGCCTCATTTCCACTAATAAACCCTAAGCCGTAACAAAGGGCTCCAATGTGGCTTTGGCAATGCACTCTAAAAGTACAAACAGGGACACCATCCATGCGCAACATGGCACTTTTAGTACTCTGATATTGTTCAGCTGTTGATGGAATCAGTCTCTCTGAGAGCTATCATAGAGTTCGGGAAACCTGACTACCAGCCGGCCTCAGAACCATAAAACTGAGTTTTAGAGCTGTACCCTCATTTGGAGATAATAGAATGAGTTGCCTAGTCATAAAAACGGAGACACAAGCAAAACCCATGAATCGAGTCAAGAAGATCCGGCGTTCAACATCCTAAACTGGAAACAATGTATTAAAAATACATCTGCGCCAGCCTAATAGATGAGGAAGGGGTGCGAGGCTGGTCAACAGATAGAATGTGTTTACCTCTTAAGTCTTTGCCTAGGAGGCCTTCTACAAGACAGCAGCTGGATGCATGTAACATCTGCCCAAGATGAGTATTTTTATCGAGACACCATCTCTAGCCTTTACTCAACCAAGAGCCCTAAGGCAGGGGGTGTTTTATGTCGGAGTTTGCATCTCCTAGCCTTTGCCTAAAAAGGCATATCCTACAAGGCAGCAGGACATGAAGCAGATTATACTGGGTTACATGTTACCAGTAGCAGGATAAACCTGACCTGACATCAAATAAGTAAAGAACTTCACTTGAAAGTTTTTTTGTCAATCCTATAACTATCAGTAGTCAATACAACACAATTTTCATGCTTCTGATTTCATAATTTTGTAGTGTGATATTGTTATGCACATTTATTATGTGTGTGTGTATATATATATATATATATATATATATATATATATATATATATATATATATATATATATATATATATATATATATATATATATATATATACATATATATATATATATATATATATATATATATATATATATATATATATATATATATATATATATATATATATATATATATATATATATATATATATATATATATATAAAACTTTCAAGTCAAGTTCTTTAACTAATTTTTAAAAAGCATGATCATTTTACAGTATATTTAGCATTTATTTGGGGATTGGAAGTTGTCCTTTTATTTAAAAATATTTTATTATTCATAATTTAGAAGTAGACCAACTTCTTGGAAAACAGAAAAATGATAATGAGAAAAAGCCTGCTGAGGTACTTACAAGTTAATTAAATATTTTTTTTTGATATTTTTATTTTTTGTTTTCTTTTAGTTTTCATAAATGTAATTTAAAGAGGTTCATTTATCTCTATGTTAATAAACATAAAAGTATATGAACTCATATTTTGTGTACGAAGTTTATTTTTAGTGCAAATCATAATATAATGACTAGTATATTTTCCTTACAAATAGTAAATATAATACAAATATAGCAGAATTATACAAATATACTTTTCTTACAAGAAAGATAATATTTAGTCTTTAATGAACTTTTTAAATAACTTTTTATGTATGCATATCTGTTGGATAAGTTAGTTAAAACTTTTTTTATTATTAAAGTGTTCTTTTTTATTAATATTTCTTATATCTGGAATTTTATATAAATGCTGTCAAAATCATTTCATATTTTGTTGTCATTTTTGTTCCACTTTGATTAGTTTAATTATTTGCTGTGTCCTCATGAAGGTTGCATCTCAGAAAAATGTTTAAAAATATTTATAGTTTAGTATAAATTAATACAATATCAATTTTTTAAGCTCTAGTATAAAGAGATTTCTTTAAAGAACAAGAATACAATAAATTGTGTGAAGCTGTAAGTTTGATGAATCAGGATAGTTAAGTTTAGAAGTTAAAAATACAAAGATGTAAACAAAAAAAAAAAAAAAATTAAAGTTCAAACACATTTTGAAGTTATAGAAATAAACATTGTAAAACTGACCTAGGTAAATCAAAATCACAACAGAAAAAATTGTTTACAGGTTCATGAGATGTTTCAAAAAAATGACTACTGTGTATGTTTAAAATGACTAAGGTGTTTAAAATCAGCATGATAGCGCATGGTGTTGCACTAGATTTAAAAAAAAAAAAAAAATGATGTTTACATAATGATTATTACTTCTTATTACATTTAATGATGAGTATAGCATGAATTTATTTAATGACAAACACATTTAATAAAAAACACATTTAATGCGTAAAATTCAGCACAATTAATTATAAATAAAATATAAGCAGAAAAATGAATATTTTATTAAGAAAAAATTTTTTTTTTTTTTAATTATTTTTTAATTTGGATTTAAAAAAAAATCTCTTTATGTGCATTATATGACTTTATAATATTATAGGGTGGCAACTAGTCATAAAAATGTCATGAAATATCATTTGGTCATAGAAAAAGTCATTAAATTCTTAAATTTTCATAAAAGTTCATAGAAAATGGGAATTTTTAAATTGATCATTTGTTCTTCTTCTAGTCATATTTTTAGGCTATTTCCAAAGTAAAGTAGAAAATGCTGAGTCTAAGACTTTATCTACCTTCTTAAAAAAGATATTGTTGCAGTGTAAGCTATAGAATGTTATTTTATTGCGTTCAAACAGAAAATAATAAAGAAAACATTCTAAATTTAGTTAATTATAGATAGAATTTTTCATGTTTGTGTTTATAATATATTATGTATTATTTTTGTTAGAATTTTTTTTTGTTAAATATTTTCAGCTAATTATTTAGATTAAATGAAAAAGTTTAACAAAAAAAAAAAAATTTTGTAAATGTAGTAAATGTTTTTAATTTTACTAGCTGTCCAATAATGATTTACTTTTCTTTTCCTCAAAATGGCTTTAATCAACAAAAATATGGAATTAGATTCTTCTTCTTGAATGCTAAAGCGTTCAGTTTTTTTTTTAGTAAGTACAATAAGGTAACAGTAGAGTAATAATACACAATTGAATTTCTTTCTTTCTCTTTCTTACACTGTTAATTTCTTAAGTAATTTTCTTTTTTGTGCTTTCTTAATAGAAACAGTTTATCTTATTTTTTCATCCAACCACACATATGAATGAGCTAATTTACAATACTTCATAATAACTTTATAATAGTTCATTAGTGGTTGAGCAAATTGTGAACATCCTATTTTGTTGAAGTTATGTTTTCATAAACAATGACTAATCAATGAGTTTTGTTGCATATCTCAATTACAAGCTCTATATTAACTCTAAAACCTCAATTAACAATACACTGGCTATAAGATATAGTAAAAATAAGGATACTAATTTTTCTTAATGATTTAAAATATTTGTTCCCATTTAAATAATAAAATATTAAAAACTTGTCAAAATCCATTGGGATTGAACTGGCTGAACTCTTCCTTATTGACTGTTACAACAAATTTTGTAAAATCTTTAAACTGATCTTTGGCAGAGTGTTTAGGCCAATATCACATTATAGTTATGCAACTTTTCCGCCTGCCTGTATTTTGTAAATGCAGCATGTCTATCCAAACAGTTAGACATGCTGCATATTGTACTAGCATGTACTTTGTAGTATATAACCATTTGAGAATGGCTTTCGGATGCCACCAAATGCTTTTTCAAACATCATGCAAAATATTCTAAGGAACTCCTATAGGTTGTTTATATAATGACTTATTTCTACATCACACAATTTACACTTGGGTCTTTTGATTTTGCTAAGGTTTCCCAAGTTTTTCAAGACAAATGGAGATAAGGTTTTCCCAAAACCTTATCTCCATTTGTCCAAATATTGAGGGCTTTATTGGCATCTAGTTCATCCTAAATCTAGAGTTTAGGATAGAATCTAATACAAAGAGTAAATTTTGAATAAATAATGACAACTTTCTTTAAATTTAAAGACATAGTTCCTGTCGTATTTTACAATGAGAAGTAGAATGCTAAAAAGAAAATGATATAATTAAGCTAATTCTTTGTTTATGCGACACAATGATCGCAAAAAGTGACCAACGGAGCCGTCCAGTTTCGTAGACCTGAGAGATGTGATAATAAAAACAGTTCGAAGATGGTGTCATTGAATATAAAATAAAAATAATATGAAAATATAAAATGAGTGATAAGACTTTTGTGAAGGTAAAGAACGAAGTAAATGCTCGGAGGGCAGGGAGAGAACAAACTAACACTCTAATCACTCTGTATGTAGATCATATGTAACAAAGAACAAATATTTGATATACTGATTTTGAAGACCGTTGATGTCTACAGGTGTAATGGTGTAGTGCATTAGTATGTACCGTTTGGTCGTCTAGTATGGTCTCGTTATGTCTTCGTTCACATTAAAATCGGGTGAATAGAAAGCTAAACACACTCACTTCTTGCGCTTATGGGCTAGCACATCAGAGCCAGACGTAAGACCTACAGAATGGATTTCAATTGATCGAATGCACACATTAGTCACCGTAGGCCACAAGCCATCACTCTTAACCAAAAGAGCTACTGCCCCGTGCTGGTGTGGAATGATGTGCTATGAAGTGAGATTTCAGGTCCGAGCACATAGTCAGCGAGCGCTGATCCGACGTGCATTGTGGAGCTTCCGATTGAACGTGTGCGTGAGTGTCAGCGTAGTCATTAGGTTATTGAGCGCCGTAACCACATCCAGCGGGATAGCCTAATGTCCGTTTTGTCTTTGTGACGTACATTGGAAAAAGTCGGGGCTCACCAGCCACAAAGAATAAATTTTTGTTTATGCGACACAATGATCGCAAAAAGTGACCAACGGAGCCGTCCAGTTACGTAGACCTGGGAGATGTGAAAGTAAAAACAGATTGAAGATGATGTCATATAGGTAAAAAAAAAACATAAATTAATGCAAAGACTATTTAGTTGGAAGAGTAAAAGTAAGCAACTCAGGAAAAGGGGGAATAAAAACTCACACTCTAGTCATCTTTAAACAAATGATGAAATAATGATCTATGAGTAAACAAGTCAATAAAAATCCGCTGGTTTATAATGGTATTCATAACTAAAACAATCGCACCATACAAATGTCTAATAAATGTGGTACTATATATGTTCTAAACTCTAGATAAAAAATTGATAATTGATAATCACCTGTGTAACATAAAAAATATATAAATGTCGTAAATGTAACAAATTCATAATAAAAAGCTCATTAAGCGCAAAAATACATGGGTTTAAGAGGTAAAAAAATGTTGGTGCCATAATAACCAATTAGAGTTAAGTAGTGGATAAATGGTGATCCCCCTCCTCAGGAATGCACTGCGATCACCAATGACGTTTCGGAGAGCCCGAGACCTGCACTAACGCCACTCGTCAGGGGCGTGTCCTTGCAACAGATCTCACTGCCTGCACTCTACGTCATGCTAGTCAATATTGCAATATAATAGGACTACACTACAAAAGCCAAAAAACCAATCCCTATCCCAGTTTTTGAAAATAGCTCCAACATTCTTAGAGATCTCGTGAGGGTGGTGAGGAGTGCGCGTGGTGTGACCATAAATAGATATGTAAACACATATAAATATAAGGTACCCTAACATAAGAAGAAACAAACTTGTACACATGTACGTATGCGCGTGTGTAAATAAACAATTATAATGTGTAGAAATAACAAAAAGCGAATAGAAAATAGTAATTAATAATTAATAGTAACTTACCGTTTCTTTTATGGCTGAAATATGTATTATAAATATAATAAGTAAATACCACTCATAAGCATTGATACTAAGTTAGGATGTTTTGTGGTTAGTACGAAAGTAGTTAAACGAAAGTATGATAAAAAAATATAACTCTAAATAGTATGTTCTAATATAAATCTTGCCTGGTAAGTAGAGACAATAGCTATCACACAATACAGACTCAGAGTAATAAAATAACGATTAGCCAGAGATAAAAAAATATACGAACATCAAATCAGTAGGCAGAAAATAATGAGGAAATAAAAAGATAAGCCAATATATGCGATTTTAAACTAATAGCTTATAACCACTAAAAAATGTAACGTTAAAAAACAATATTGTTGACAAAACGACCAAAGGAACGTTAGTGAAGACTGTATAGTGCAAACCACAACAAACTAACTTAGCGACGTCAAATCGAGAAAGTTAGATAGAAACAAAAAAACCTAACGAAATCGTGATTAGTCTAAACTTATCTAATGAAATTGTTCAGTATATTCCAACCAAGAATACATTTGTTATAAAAAATACGCTAATACGTACTTTTG